GGGAATAGTCTTGGGTATAAGCAGAGTCCTTCAGTTGACTTGATGAGGTAACTAGTTAATATCTTGTACAGCAATACTCCTGAGATGGTAGTTCATAGCAGAGCATTCCTTGAAGTTTAAGGTACTCAGTGAATATGCAGTTGTTCCTGTGGAAAATAATGCCATGAATAATAATATAAGAATAAATTCTGTGTTTCATGTACCCACAGCTATAAACCTACGTTTGCCCCACCCTGTCTTCAACAAATAGATATTGAATGCCTGTCGCACCAGTTTGTGTTCTAAGTGTTGAGAATGCAACAATGAACAAAACAGACAGAAATCTCTACTCCCACAGAGCCTTCAGTCTAGTAGGGGAGGACAGAATTTCAACAATGAACAGATTTATGTTGGCTAAAGGTGGAAAACTTTATGAAGAAAAATAAAGTGGGAAATGAGGGCTATGGATATGGGTCAGTGAAGGCTTCTCTGTGAAGTTGTCAGAGACTTGAAGGATGTGAGGAGAGGAGCAATGTGGGTATCTGAGGGAAGTGGGTATCTGAGGAAGGCGTTCCAGGTCGAAAGGACAGCAGTGCAGAGGCTCCAGGCAGAAGCATCAAAAACAAAGCAAGTGTGGCTGGAGGAGATAAGAGAGGGAGGGATGAAAAAATGACCAGGACAGATCCCAAGGGCTTCGTAAAGACTTTGATTTTATGCAGAAGGAGATGGAGAGTCATTTGAGGATTCTGAGCAAAGGAGGGGCATGATCTAACTTGCATATTAATAAGTCCACTCTGGCCCCAGGGTCCAAGTGAGAGATTCTGTGGCTGGACCACAATGGTAGCAGAGGTGGTAAGAAGTGGTCAAATAAGAGATACACCTGGAAGCCAGTAGGATTCCAGGGTGCATGCAATGGGGATTGTGGGTGGGTGGCTGTGCTTGCGGGGAGAGGAGAGAAAATCAAGGCTGACTTGCAACTAGGAGGATGGACTTGCTGAATTTGTGCCTCAAAATTCAGGGACGTCTGTGGGGAGGGGAGGATTTTTGTTTGTTTGTTTTTTGGTGGGAGATGGGTAGAATGATAATATATCCAGTTTGATAGTTAGAGGGACCAGGGCAGAGGACCACAGGCTTTTGCCACTTCTGTGTCCTCTCAACTACCCTTAGATCAGTGGTTCTCAACCTTCCTAATGCCGCGACCCTTTAATACAGTTCCTCATGTTGTGGTGACCCCCAACCATAAAATTATTTTCGTTGCTACTTCATAACTGTAATTTTGCTACTGTTATGAATCGTCATGTAAATATCTGATATGCAGGATGTATTTTCATTGTTACAAATTGAACATAATTAAAGCATAGTGATTAATCACAAAAACAATATGTAATTATATATGTGTTTTCTGATGGTCTTAGGCGACCCCTGTGAAAGGATCGTTCGACCCCCAAAGGGGTCTCGACCCACAGGTTGAGAACCACTGCCTTAGATAGTAACTTCTCCAACTTTTAAAGACATCTGCCTGCAGCACTAGGACTTGGGTTCAGGCTTGGGCTATTGTTAAGCAGAGACATTGAAAAGCAACCATGAACATGCTTAAAGGGGTGTGCCCACTGGGTGGGAGCTTCCTGCTGGCACACACCCTCAGGGATGGGTCTTTCTTCCTGGGGTCACTCCTTTTCTGTCTTTTATTTTGTTTTATTTTTTTATTTTATTGCTTAAAGTATTACAAAAAGTATTACATATGTCTCCTTTCCTTTTCTGTCTTAAGTCAACATGTCGTTGCCGTTGACTGGGGATTCCAGCCCAGGTTTCTGTGTTTCCCTTCCCTAGCCACACTCAGAACTTCCCTCTTCCTCTCTTGTCCACTGGGCAATACATGGGGAATATGCAAGAATTGCAATTGATTCTTTGCTTTACTCTCCCTTGCCCCACCTGTTTCATTATCTATTTTGATCTGATATATGACAACGTTGTCTTCACTGGACTGCACTGATGTGTATTTACATACATAAAATAATCAGAATTCATCTACATTTTATGAAAATACATTTGCTGGGGAAAGACGGTGGGGTATTTCTGGGCATGTTGGCATCAAGCTGAGGCGGACCCAAGTGGTAAGGAAGACAAGTGCTTGAGGGTTAGCTTTCTCTCTTCCTTTCCCCTTTTCAAACTTCTACTGTTTGCCCATTCCCACCAGTTCTGCTCCCAAGACTTCCCTTTCCAGCAGGCGAGACACGGGTGCCTGCTCGTGCCAGGGGCAGGGGGCACATTCACAGGAAAGAAAGGGTGTTTCTGAATTCTAGAACTCTCAGCAGGCAGTGGGGTAGCCCTTGCTGGTTTGGAATCTGGAGAACAGCAGGACGAGATCTGGGTCTTAGAAAGGTAATCCTTTTAGGAGATTGAGCACAAGGGGAGAAGCCAGAGACAGAGAAGTTGATCAGGTAGTTAAAATAATTTGTGCAAGAGAAGGTGCAGGCCTGACTGTCAGTGAGTCTTGACACCTGGGGGAGTTGATGGGGTGAGATATTTCGCACCAGATTCTGTCAGTGACCATAAGGGACTGAAGGAGAGCAGAGCCTGAGGAAGGGAAGCTAGAGAGTCTGGTGTCTGGCAAGGCAGGAGGAAGGGGGTGGCCACAGGGTGGCCATGGAGCTGAGCTGTGAGGGGCGTGGGCAGGAGGAAGAGGAGTTCAGTGTAAGTTATGCTGAGTTCCAAGAGCCTACAGATTCCCCACGTGGGTGAACATTCCTGGAATTGCCACCTAGAGCCACACTGCAGGCAGATGGAAGAACAAGGGGAGCTCGGGCAGGAGAAAGATTTGGGAGGTCCTGGGCATAAACTGTGCTGATTGAGGCGATAAAAGTGGGACAGGGGCTGCGGGCAGCTCGCTGGAGATCATCACCCGGCTTTCCCCAGGCACATTTCCTTTAGAAACGCTTGTGCTGAGGCATGTTTTGTGCTGGAAGAATGATGACAGATAGTTTTGCTTCTGAACAGGGACTACATTATTTGCCACTGAACCAGCAACTTCTCAGCCATCACTCATGAAGTAGTCATTATCAGTCACAAACACAAGGGCTTCCCTGGGAATGTCGAGTTTCTCTCAGAAGTTTGTTGAAATGACATTCATGACAGAATCTGTGGTGCGAAATGCCTCACCCCATCAACTCCCCCAGGTGTCTGCAGGGTCTGAGAGGCAGGGGACAGCATGAGCAGCACTCTCTCTGTGGACCCAGACGGAGTATCCAAGCCCTTGTGATGTGCCCTGGTGTCTCGGTGCGTTTGGTGCTTCATTTCCTGACAGATCTGTCAGTCGCCTCAACTTAATCATATAAATTTTGTTTGGCGGCTGAGGTTATAAAAGATTGCAAATCTCTCCTTAGTATAACTTCATGTATAGGAAAACCATTTTAAGACCTTTTTTTTAAAAAAAAATGCTTTTGTTGATTTCTGAGAGAGGAAGGGAGAGGGAGAGAGAGAGAGAAACATCAGTGATGAGAGAGAATCATTGATCAGCTGCCGCCTGCATGCCCCCTACTGAAGATCGAGCCCAAAACCCAGGCATGTGCCCTGACTGGGAATCGAACTGTGACCTCCTGGTTTCTGGATCGACTCTCAACCACTGAGCCACACTGCCCAGGCAGGGAAACCTTGTGAATAGATCATTTTAATAATTTTAATAATAAAGCTCATTGTTTGGAATATTCATCATCAATGTAACTTGGTTTGGGGGGAATACGGTAAATTATCATGCTCAGTTCCCATTGTTTTTATGGGCAGGTCATTAGGTAATGTTTGAAACACTTTGCTGCATAAGTAATTAAGCTATTGGACAACACCCACACTGTTTCATACCTACATCATGCAATCCTTATAAAGGGACTAGTTTGTAACTCACTGCTCTGGAAGGGTATGGCTTGTTTTCTATAAAAAGGTTTAATAACATGTGCAGAACAGGGAGCCAATGTCAGAATTGATCTGACCAGCGTTTATTTTCTTAAAGAGCTTCTTAGCTCCCCTGTGAGCCTGGAGCCGCCCTCCAGCCACTCCGGCTAGCACCCCAGCTGGCCCACTGCTGCCATTGGCGCAATTGAAATCAATCACTGGACTGCCATCCTGATAACGCCGCTCCGCAGGGCAGTTACCACCGACCCCTCCAGTTCCACAGGGGAGAAGGGATTGCTTGTGGAAATGGACCTGGGAGACAATTTATATATTCGATGGCATTAGTTAATTTTTTTCTTTGACTAAACCAAGAGAAAGAATGCAGTTCTATAAGATTTGTTTTAAAAAGTAGATCATTTTGTACGTTAGTACATGCGTTTGTGCAGTGAACATTTTTTCATGAATTACATTAGAAAGGTGATTTTCCTAAACAAACCGATCTGATACTGTGTAATATATGTCTCTGTAGTGATTCAACATATGCATACACTTTTTTTTTTTATTTTGGCCTCTCAACTGGGCTGTCTCTCTTAAAAAAGAACAAAGGGCTTCTTCTGCTATTGTTTTCCGCATAAATCCTGTCATAGTGTTAGGTCTCTAATAGACCATTTCAGAATACATCTGTTTTGGCTGGAACTCAGATGTAGTGGAAAACTCATGATTCATATTTTCAAAATCTGGATTTCATTTAGTCTAGAGGGAATGTTAGTGCTTAACCAGCACATATTCACAGCCACTTATGCTTTGTGTATGCCCATATCTGTAAATCCAGTGTGCCAGGGTTATGTTGTGAAATCATTTGGAGAACAGCACTCTATCTTCAGGATTTAGCTGGTGTTTTGTGAAGAGGTTCTTGCTGACTGAATTTGAAGGGACATTTGGGCCGCAGCAGAACTGAGTTCCCACAGCACTACCGACACCATGTTATTTGCTTGGGGACTTTCACTAATGTATTAAGCAAGAGTAATTAGATAATCATGTATTAAACAGTGGGAATGCCATGTTATTCCCCATAACTTGGTAGATAAATTTGAGTAACCAGAGCTGAAGGGTAATGCATTCTTTGTTTTTCAAAGGTCCCATCGGAAAATTGAAGACTCGGAAGAAAGCAGTGATGAAATTCTTGCGCGTCTAACGTCGGCGGTAAGGCCACGCACATTCCCTCCCAGGGATGCGGAAATAATGAATCCAGGGCTTTTGAAGGGAGGCATTTGGACAGTGATGTAGGGACACTTGCCCTGTGTTTGCTCATCATTGTGGGAGGCCCCAGTCAAGGCGAAAGGAGGCCCTGGCATGGACTCGCTCTGCTTGGTGCAGCCTGTCCAGCAAGACCATAGATACTAGTATTCTTGGCGGAAAATTTCTGGAACCTCCATGGAGGCATACAATCTGATTTTTTAAATCAACATGACTCAATCTAGGGAAAGTTGTGGCCTGCTTCACAAAGGAGAAAAGACTGTGTTTCATTAGGAAAAAAACAAAAAAAGAATTACTATAGCCAACAAAAGGCCAGGTTATTGGTTTTTAATGTACTGGAATGCAACATTTTTATTGTGTTTTTTAAGGCCAAGAATCAGAATTGGTAATTGCCTTGTTGGTTGAAGAATCCTTTATGCCCACCTTCGTAGGAAAGCTAGCGGTGGTCACTGGCCATGGGCTGCAGTTTTGAAGGGCCCTGGCAATCCTTCACACAGAATCTTCATCCACTGGCTTGGCTTTCGGGAAGCTGTTTTAGCCTTACCAAAGACTCTTTAATTCTGCTTTAACTTTATTATTGGAATTTATTATTGTAATTGCTGAAAATCCTGCTGGATTAGGTTATGTATGTGGTTGAAACTGATCCTGTACAGTTTTACACACCAGGTTGGTGTCTGGGCATAGCTTGAAAGTTAGAAGTAGCCTTTCCTACTCTTCTTAAAACGTAGCTTAGAAAAGTAATTTTTTACTAAATACAGTGATCTGTGGTATAAAACTTCATGTGAAATGGAATTTTGACAGTATGTTAAGAAAAACTATTTAGCATGACCTTTGCAGCTTACTTTTACTTATTTATATGTTTTTTTATTTTATTTTTTTCATCACCACTTATTCCCTCTATGCCCTCTTCCACCACCCCAACCCCTCCCCCCACCATTTATTTTTTATATTGAAGTATAATTGACACACATCATTATATTCATTTCAACATAATGATTCAATATTTGTATATATTGTGAAACGTTCACCACAATAAGTCTAGACATCTTTCACCATACATAGTTACAGAATTTTTTTCCTTGTGATGTGAACATGTAAGATTTATTCTCTTAGCAACTTTCAAATATGCAATACAGTTTTATCCGCTAAAGTTACCATGCCGTACAGTGCATCCCCATGACTTATTTATTTTATAACTGGAAGGTTGTACCCCTGACTCCCTTCACCCATTTTGCCCACCCCTGCTTCTGGAGATATAGATATAGATATATAGATATATAGATATAGAAATATATAAAAGCCTAAGTGACCGTAAGGACTGAATAACCGGAACAACTGGTCAACCAGTTGCTATGATGCACACTGACCACCAGAGGGCAGATGCTCAATGCAGGAGCTGACCCCTGGTGGTCAGTGTGCTCCCACAGCCAACCTCCTGATCAGGACTGGGCAAGACGGCCCCGATAGGCCCTGATTGCCGGCCAGGCCTAGGGACCCTACCCATGCACAAATTTCGTGCACCAGGCCTCTAGTATAGATATAAAATCACATTTTCTTTATCCATTTATCTATTGATGGACACTTTGGTTGTTTACATATTTTGTAAATAATGCTGCAGTGAGCATGGGGATGCAGATATCTTTTCTAGTTAGTGTTTTACTTTTCTTCAGATAAATTACCTAGGTGTGGAATTGATGAATCACACAGTAGTTCTATTTTTAATTTTTTGAGGAGCCTCCATTCTGTTTTCCGCAGTGGTTGTACCAATTTACATTCCCACCAACAGTGCCCAAGGGTTCCCTTTTCTCCCCATCCTCGCCAGCACATGTATTATTTCATGTCTTTTTGATAATAGACATTCTAACAAGATGTGCGATATTTCATTGCGCTTTTGATTTGCATTTCTCTGACAATGAATGATGTTGAGCATCTTCTCACAAATCCATGGGCCATTCTGTATGTCATCTTTGATAGGGCTCTAGCAATCCTTCACACAAAATCTTTATCCAATGGCTTCGTTTTCTAGAAAATTTTTCTAGCAGTTTAAAATATGGACCAAAGAAGAGTGCGTCATGGGTGCAAAATCATTAAAATGGCACCCACAACAGCACTATGAAATAGGTGGGATATCTGTTTCATAGATATGAAAGCTTGTGACATTAAGTAATTTGCCCAAGATCACCCATGTAGAATGGAACAGAGCCAGGATCTAAACGCAGACTTTTCTACTTCCCAATCATGTTCTCCCAGCAATACCACCCACTCACTGTACTGTCTTTTACAGTCCTCTCTTTTTATTCAAACTTGAAAGTTTTGGCTGTCTTTTAAAAAGTCCTCATTCTTTAAACCCCAATAGTTTATTTCTTAGTCCTAGTTTAGGTTCATAAAAAAAAAATTAATTCCTGAAACTCTACCCTGGAAGAAAACACAAGTGAGTTTTCATAGTAAAGGAACATGAGAAGATCGTGCATGTTTAGAAATACTAGTAAAAATGGCTTTATAAATGAGTCAGATTTACAGTGGTTGAATTTATTCAAACATGACCAATATATAAATGGTTCAGTCATGTTTCTGGTGATTTTCAGCAAAGAGCTACCCTCCCAAGTGCCTGATGTCCACAAACCTAAACATTAAAACTCTGTAAGAAGTTTTCAGCTCACGGGAAAATGACAGATGTAATAGAATCCTTCCATTATAGAAAGTCTACAGAAACACTGGACATTATTATCTGGAAACTGTTTCTCTGTTATATATACAGTTTCTGCCTTAGCACCTTAGCTTCATTTCTAATTTCTTCTGACCCTACGAATTTTGTTACCTTGAAAACTTTCTCTTTTTCATTTGCTATGAGTCTCTATTGGTCTGATAAAGCTGGTGGGCCGAGAAGGGCCCTTGGATGACATAGCCTCCCAGTTCCCACTCTTGAAGTTCTGAGCGTGATTTTATTTTTAACCATGCATCCCTCCAGTGTTCATGACAAAAAGAGTACTCAGAATTGATAATATGGCTTTTATATATTTGTATTGCAATGCAGGGTAAACAAAAAATAGGGACTAATTTACAATGAGTTAAGTGTTGCTTTCAAAGCCATAATTCTTAGGATGTAAATTTAGGAAACATGTTAGATGTTGAGGCATTGCAAAGAACTGAGAGTACTTGGGAAGCATCCAAAGACAGGAAACCAGAAACATAGAAATCTTTAAAAGGAGATAAAAACGGATTCTAGACTTCCGTCTCTTGCTTCTTTAAAAGCAACATCCCAAACAATCGCTATTAAACTAGTTCTCTTTCTTTTGGCTAAATTTTCATGATGGAAATTGTAGGGATAATTTCTCTATAATTCTACCTTCAAAAACACAAACATCTTATCTGGACTTGAGTAAAATTCGTGGATTTTGTTCACACAGACTAATTGTCAAACCACCAAGCTGATGTGAGTCAGGCTAAGATGTGAATTTCATGTGTCAGGTGCCTGTTTCGTGGTATGGTTACATTAGTGGCATTTATGAAAGGCTAGGGGGCATGTGGTGTAGTACGTTGTGCTGCTTGGTCCTATGAAATCAGCCGTCACTTGGATGGTGAAAGAAAACAGTGTTGAGTGTCTACAGTATAATGCTAAGTTGGGGTGATAGTGGTGGAGAGTTTGTGGCCAAATCTTGAGAGATGATTTAAAATTACAAATCAAGTGTTCAGAATTTGGAAGAGAGGTCAATGGGGATGAGAGCAAAACCCAATACTCTGGGACCACTTAACTAGACACTCTTACACCCTCCTATTGCTTCTCAGAGCAGATTTAGTTTATAATTTTCATCTGTTTCAATTTCTCGGCATCTTTCTGCTCTGTCCCCTCACTCATGTTCACCGATTCATCCCATTTGAAGGTAGAATCCAAGCTTCTGATGCTTTTAATGGCATTTCTAAATTCCTTCTCATGGGGTCTTTGGGTACACTACCAGTCCTCTGAGAAATATCGCTGAGCTAAAAAATCTTACTTGCCAATCAAACCCAGATTATAAATGAAGGTGTCTGCTGTAAGTTCTAGAAGACCATGAAGCAAATGAAGCCCAAGAAGCAAGTAAGCCATGTTTTTGGTGAAAGTGTTAGAAAAAAAGAAACCTGCTTTGGGATTTCTTTCTGTGTTTCTCTAAAAGGAAGACAAAAGGGAGGTGATTATTACTAACTGCTGCATATTATCAACTTCACGAAAACATTTTTCCCTGCTCAGTGTCCAGAAATTGTGATGTAACACTCCCAGTTTTCACGTCTACTGTGCCCTTGTTCTCTCATGATTCCTAGCATTCCTTCTAATTAAGGTCTTGTTCTTACTTTCCCCCCATTTGGAATCCTGCTTGACCCATAAAACAGATCTGATTTCACTTTCATTCACTAAGCCCTGCCCTTAACTTGGACCTTTGATTTTTCTCCCAAGTCTTCTTTTCCTTACAGTTCTCTTGGGAAATGGTGGATCCTGAGGTACAAGGAACTGGGTCTATTGAACAATCAGTTCTGAATCGCTGAGTGCATGAGGCTGTGAAACTCAAAGATGTCAACTTTTCAAGATTTTCTCTCTTGTCAGCCATCTCCTTCCTTTAATATTGCCAGTTCTTATAGTTCGCCTTCACCCATTTAAAACCCCTCTTCTTTGCCATGTCTAATCTTTCACCTGAAATTCAGCTGTGTTCTTTAAGGATGTGTCTGTCACAGGATGCTATTTCTACCCTTTCTGGGTCCAGGAAGCATACAGTGTCCAGGATTTCAGTAGTTTGTACTTCTCGATGAATCTACAAGTTGGATTTGATTCATTGGAGAATTTCTTTTTCAACAGTAGTATCTGAAGATAACAGTGACAGCTTTTTAAATCGGAAGCTTTCCAGTTGGTACTGATTCAGCAAGCAGAAATAGCGTGGGATTTGGGTTTTGATGAATCTCAAAAAGTTAGGCTTTTA